AGAGGAGTACATAAGTAAAATTTTGTGAAGATAGCACTTATCGCTTTAATTCTGTGGGTGTGTCCAAATTGATACACTGGTTGAATACAGCTTCGGAAAAAGTGCTGAAACGAGTATTGTTGTCCATGAACTGACTGATGAGATGCAGAGAAACAAAGAATACAGACTCTCAGTTATCCTAGATTATTGGTGAGCCCGGTCTGGGCACACCTAGGGTTCGCCATTTGATTTTAGGCAAGATTTCAAGGTAAAAATTTAAAACTAATACAGAATAAGGAGATTAGCATACAGCCAAAAAAAAATAACATAGAAATTTCTTTTCAAACAATTCCTTTTATACCCTAAAAAAAAATCTGGAAGATTTCTTTGAAAAATGAAGGTCTTAATAAACTAAACATGGCTAAAATATATGGACTGGTTTGTGTTGGGCTGCCATCTACCATAAATAAAGAAGGTTCAGAGTAACCTATAGTAGCCTATAAATCCTTTTTCATTCAATTTTTAGGTGTGTCCAGACCAGACACACTGTGCCGCAATGGGTTAAACAGTTTTGGGATGCTGTTAAGGAATTCCGTGTGCCACAGCCACACATGAAAGACACAGAAATTTCTAAATAAGTCGATATTTCTTTTCTGTACCGCCTGATTATATAACACTTACCTCTATGTTATTTCCTTGTTTCATTTTGATTTAAAATGCAGTTTATTAAGATTCTAATTTTTTTAAATTTTTATTGCATTATGTTTTGGATACCATTTTACTTGGGAAGCTGTTCCACATAAACAGGAATGGCACCGAAAAAATCTTAAATTTTCGACAAGGGGGACCGCGAAATATACCTTTCCCCTAATTTCTACAACTCTTCCTACACATGATTTAAATTTAATATTGAATTAATGCATTTATTGTATGCAATAAAAACTCCATTTGTAAAAATTTATTTATTAGTAACCTTCACCTTGTCATTTTACCTTTGTCTCTGCTTACCATTTTAATAATTAAAAGCATAGAAACTAAATTAATATGGCTGATACTGTATCACAGTCTTCTGAAGATACAGACTACACAAAGATATTATCAAAAAACAGATTAACACGTTCTACTTGGAATAACTCCATTATGAATTCAGGAATCTTCAATCCATATTGCAAACATGTAACTTTCAGAACTCTATGCATCATAATGGTTTGATCTTCAGAGAATTTATGTTTTACCAACAGCTGAAGATGTGCATCATTTGCGATACTGAAGCACTATCTTTAAAACTTTTCGCATGCAATTTTAGTTTCATTAGAGTGACAACATTATGGCACCGAAAAATCAAAAGAACAGCGACTGATTTTCTGCTTGTGAAATTCAATATACAAAAATGTAAATAAATATTAATCTTATCGAAGTCAGGGAAGTGTTTACCATTTTCCTACATTCCAGACACTTCACTGGTTTACCCGGATTTGATCTAATTCTACCTCTGAAGTGCAAGAAGGAAGAAAAACATACGACGTTTAAGTAAGATAATATGTCACTGACATTCTACGTATGTTATAATAATTCACCTGTTATTAAACATGTCTTACGGACAGTGTTGTAAACAACTACTTGCCCATTGAACAGTTCCATAATTTTTTCCCCGAGCTCAACAGTGGATTGAGTAACAGTTTCGATTTCGCAGTGCTTCTGTATTCACATAGATTACATTAAGAATTGCTGGTTCAAATATTTTTATTCATCTGAAAAGTATAAAATTCCGATCGTACGTACGACTAAAATACTTCTGAAATGGGCAAGTCAAATTTAAAAATCTAAATATTGTTCTATATTGCAATACATCTTCAGTGGTAATGTATACCAATTAGGCTGACAAATTTATTGAAAACTTTCCAAATGCAATAAATGTGTTAAAAGTTAATGAACTAAAAAACTAGTTTTTACTAAGCAATCTTTTAATTGGAAAAGCTTAAGCTATAAAAATAAAATAAACTGAATAAAAGTCTGTTACATCCGCTACTAGTAATTCTATTATGGCTGACAGAGACGAAAGTAAACTAATGCAACAACTGCAACTGTCGCCAGGGTCAGCATCAAAATTCCTCCTTTTTCAAAATATGCTTTCTTCAAATCGAAACCCAATTTTGCAACGACTGGAATTATAGCTGATCAAACAAAATATGATTATGTGGTCAGTTCTATAGAAGCATGGATATTGTTACAAATTGCTGAATTCTCACTAGACAGCGGCAAATATCTCGCCATTAAAAAGACTTATTGAAATTTTTGCCCATTCTGAAACATGAAAAACTCGTAAACTTCTAGCCAAATTAGAACATTACAACTTCTTTGTGAAATGTGTAACTTGGCAGCTGAGCAAGTGCCAGATGAATTTTTGAAAACATTGTGGATGCAACGACTACCATCTAATATGTGGAGAATTATTGTCTATAAGTTATGATTTGTCCAAACTATATACAACGGCTGACAAAATATGGGACTTAAATCCCAATCCACCCCAGGTAGCTTGCATTGTTTCTCCACCATCTGATAACATTATAGCAAAAGATCTACCGGAATAGATATCAAACTTGACACTGCAGATAGCAGAAATGACTAGGCGTTGAAATTCCATTCTACAAAAACGAAGATACAGATCGAATTCAAGAAATCGTTCTAAAAATAAGGAAAACAAATAACTGTTACTTTCAACAATGCTCAGGCAAGAAAGCTTATAACAGGGTTGCCACTCAAGCAGGAGAATGAAATTCCCTGACTATTCTAGGTGTGTTTTAAGAAAATTCCAGTCTATCCGTGTATTGCGCATTGACTGTACTGAGAGGCAAATAAATTATGGTACCACTTGAAAAGACAATTTGCCGATTACATATGACTTATCCCCAAAGCATTACTATTATAATACGGTCAAAAGTCGTTAATCCGGACTCGTCGGGACTTCGCCGATTCCGGATTATAGATCATCAGTTTAAATCTCGTAAGATGGCATGCAGAAATTCTAAAATTAAAAATATGAAACCGTAATTTATGAAATAAAGAACAATTATGATCTAAAGGGTATCAAAATTTACAAAAAAAAGCTTAATATTTATTTGTTTACTTTATTAAACATTTCTTTCAATGTAAGTTGTTTAAGTTGCTTCATTTTATGTGATAATACTTTCTCTTTAATTTTATAAACAGACGTAATTTCTTGTTCAGTTACAAAGTCCCGCTGTTCAAGTCCCGTTAATTGCTGTGCCGAGAATACCGACTAACTTGTCAATCGAAATTTTTTCGTTTTCACTAACCTCTCTGTCACATTCTTCATGCCTTTATCCATTTTTTGCAGCAATTCAACTTTTTGTTTGTTGGACATCGAAACATACGTTCATTTTGTAGATCCTTTAAGTTCCAGCATCGGAAATTCTATTTGACATAATCGAAAGTTCAAGTTTACTTTTATAAAATTGCTCTTACAGTCTGCAAAAAATAATAAGCGGGGTCCAATTCGAAGATTAAGGAACAACGCAATCATTAACATTAACTGAAATAGATAATTTTAGCTTACACCGTCCGTTATACATTAAACGCGCAGGCGAAAACATATTCTGCACTTGCACTCACGCATATGCGCAGTAGTCAAGGTCTTAAGCGCACGCGTAAAACGCCTGTGCGCATGTGCCAACGCGGGCGCATGCGCAGAAAGTTTTTAGCTTTGACGTCCGGATTATAGATCATTTCCGGATTATGGGTGTCCGAATTAACGACTTTTCACTGTAGTAGTTTTTTCCACTGAAAACTAAGATTGAAATCTGCCCGATCTGGATTAAAAACATTTTGCAAAACTTTTTATGCAAACATTTTTCAGCTAAGCAAAAGAAAGAAATCCATTTAATGATATTTTAAAATAAATTCAAGTATTTTATATTTATTTAACAGCATACATAAGCAAAAAGCATGTGCATTAAATTTCGTGCTGGTATGTCATCATACTGCTAGAATAAGTTTCAGGAGTATGACAGAGAAAACTGCCAGAAATTTGAAAGCATTATTAACTAATAATAAATAAATTTGAAGGAAGAAGCCACATTAAATGATATGAACAATATTAAAGTTAATTACTTAAAAATTAAAAACTGAATTACAATAACCAACAATATTTTGGCAAATGTAATTATATTACATGTTTAGCCTAGATGACAGATTATTTTTTATTTTTATTTTACTACAAAATTACAAATAAGGCATCTATTAAAAAGGAAAAAAATATTTTGTGGTAAAATCCTAATATACAGTACGACCTCAGCACGATTTTCAAAACTGCCAACACCCCCAAAACGGCCTATTTACTGTTTATCATACTGTCGCCAAATCCTGCATGTACCATATACTAAGATTAAACCGATTTTGCTCGATAAGAGAATGGGAAGGTATTTTCTTTTGTTCAACATGCACTGAACATGCAAATCTCTCAAGGTTACTGGAAACCAAAGTCGCTGGAAACTTGCTTTGCGTTTCTAAAAGAAAGTGTGATGCTGCGAAAATTGGCTCCATGCCAGCTGCAGTACTTAACGGAAAATCCTGTCGACCATTTTTGCCTATTAACCCGACAGAAGACGCGCACGCAACACTGACATTGGAGATCGCGCGGGGTGACTAGGTCACCTCAATCAGTTTCATTAGGAAAATGTGTTACAATTTTTTTAGAACCATTTGAATATAAACCATAATTGCAATACTTCATTGAGAAACTATAGTTCTTTACTTAAGAAAACGTATTTCAATATTTAAGAAAAAATTCCATTCAAAATAATTACATACCTAATCAGGGATCAGAAGCTGACATACACTTCTGGCAAACATAGGAAGAATGAACTTTACATGAAAAATTATCACAAATTTTGCAAGAAATTGTAGTTTTTATAGCACTTTAGGAAGCATCGGCATATTTTTTTCTTATCTCTATGTGGGGCTGTATAAGAGATATAGCCTAATTTTTTACGAATTTCCTCCTATTTCGATACTGTAAAGGAGGGGTCTTTGTTGACAATAATGCAACTCAGGCATTTATTACAACGAAATGCAACTCGGGCATTTATTACAACGACGTTCAACACACAATAAAATACAACCATCGGCCATCTGTTGGTCTTTCGAGCTGTCGAATATAATGATGACATTTCATCAACTTTGTCTACACCACCTTTTGTTGCATTATAAAAGTGAATTATTTCTGGTTTCTTGGTATCATCACTTTCATCAATGGCATCATCGTGATGCATTGTAGATAACAAAACTACACATTTTGATTTTTTAGGCACATACGATACTAGTGTCGCGTTCTTTTGGAACCCAAATATAGAAGAATAAACTTTCCTAGTTTTTATTTGGACGAACTCGGTGGGAATTTCAGCCTTGTTTTTCTCCAGGTTTCCTACAACAGTTAACTTCTTTGACAAAAGTTCTTTTGCTAGAGGATAACTCGTATATAAATTATCCATTGTTACGTTTCTGCCTGATCCAAACAAAGAGGTGCACAGGCGTTTTGTAATTTCAAATGGTGAATTTTCAACTCTAAAGGGACCTTCCGGCTGTTGTCCTACATATATCTCCATGTTATAGCTGTAAAATGTACTTAAATCTATTAAGGCAAATATTTTTATTCCATATTTTGCTGGTCTGCTGGGTATATATTGACGAAAGGAACACCGCCCTCGAAATTTCTCCAATTTTTCGTCGTTAGTAATATATTCACCAATAATGTATATCTTTTGGCAATTTTCATTGAAATCATCAAAATATTCTCTCACAGCCGCCAGTTTGTCCAATTTTTTGCGAGCTTCACAATTGGTCACACTGTCTAACCGTAAACACCCGAGGAGAAAATTAAATCTTTTATATGACATTGCGTTCTGTAAAATTTCAGTGCCTGATCCATCAGTAGCCGACAAATCTTGTGTATTTGTATGTGATGATTTAAGCAAGTTACACAGATATAAAAGGCCAAAAAGTGCTCTAATTTCCACATCATTTGTCGTTTTGGCATCTTGATCTCTGGTGTAATTTAGGGATATTTTTTCAATATAAATATTTGTACGCTCTACAATAAATCGTATCATTTTAGCATTGAAAAACAATTCCCAACTTTCTAGAGGCTCTGTTATATTGCGTGTAGTTCCTTTTAATCCTGGTAAATGAGTTATTATATTTTGAGAAGACGTTTTCACTTTTTGATTTGGTTTTCCTTTCTGCCAAACTGTGTTATTTTTGTTAATAAAAATACATTTTACTAAATCAGGATTTCTGTCGTCTTCAACATTCTTCTCAAATTCACTTTCGCTGTCGTGAGAATTAAATATTTCTTCATCAGATTCATTTTCACTATCTTGATCAATCTCTTCTTCAGAAGACTCAACTTCATCTACTAGAGTTCTCAAACATTCCATCTCTTTTTCATATCCGGTAAATTTTCGTTTGTAAGCCATTATTTATCAAATAATCCAACGGACCAAAAACGGAAACACTCGAGAGCACGAAGTTAAATGGCTACTAATGAAAAATTTCGAAGCAGTAACAGTCGCACGGGGTGACTGTGTCACCCCATTCCCTCATGGATTCCAAGAAACAATTGCTTCTCTCGCAGGAAAGAAAAACAAGCAAAAATAACAACACACATTCCAAGGGGAGTGTTAAGACAGGAAGATACTAAAAGGATGATTCATTAACATGAAATATTTCCAGTCAGGATTGTTGATTTTCAAAGCATGGGGTGACTCTGTGCCCCGCACGACTTCTCCCGGGTTAAAGAACAGAAGCCAAACTACATGATTTTCCACCAAAAATGGAATAGTCTCCTTCAAACACACTGGGTTTAGTGTAACCTTGATTACACGTGTTAGTTACTATTCTCAAGTAAAGAATCCTTTTTTCCCTCTATCACGCATTTTTGAAAAAAAAAATTATTAAAATTTGGGACCCGCCCACTACAGAAGAGCATGCTGTTGAATATTTCCAAAATTATTCCATACCATAAAATAATTGCATTTACAGTATATCTCCTTAATAAAAATAATGGAAAATTTTAATGAAGAATTAAATATAAATAAATCATAAAATCATAATATGAAAGAAAAATAAGACTAGAACGTTTTTTCCCTTATTTAGTAAATGTTGTTTTTTCGTTTGGTGAGATTGGCGCTGTCTCTTTTGGTCGATGTTTTCTCCTGCTTTCTTAGCATGCTCTTTTAGACGATTTTCCGTAAGTACCCCAGCTGCCTAAATGACCTCACGCTATACATAATTCGCCAAGAAAGTGATCAGGTCCAACACTGGTTTAAAAGTCGCCTTTTGGGGGAATCACTATATGAAATTCCCTGACTTTTCCCGGTTTTTCAGGATTTCCAGGTAGTGTGGCAACCCTGATATAAGTGCACCCCACCATGCAAATACCAGGCTTCAAAACAGGAAAACTAAATCCCTCTCCTTCAAAGACAACCGAAAGTCAAGGGGTCCAGCCGAGTTGACATCTTTGTGACAACGCATCAGCAACCCATTTTTTAATTGACACTGGAGCAGAAATATAGGTTATCCCACTATCACCATCAGAAAAAAGAACTGTGGCTAAGCTTGAGCTATTTGTAGCTAACAGTACAAGAATCAAAACGTATGGTAAAAAATTATTAGAACTGGATTTAGGGCCACACAGATCTTTTAACTGGCCTTTTATCATTGCGTATGTCAATAAACCTATCGTTGAAATACTTTCTTCCACATTTTAATTTATTAGTCGATAGTAAAAATAAAAAATTAATAAATGACACCATCTCATTAAGGACTAAAGGTACTTTGTCATAATAACGTCACTCATAAATTCATTTTATGTGTAATAATAACATCACTCATAAATACATTTTTAATACTCTTCAAAACCAATATAGAGCCATTCTAAATAAATTTCCAAACTTATTTAAGCCCAACATAAAAAATTATAAAATTAAAGAACAAGATGAGCAATATTGCATCAAAAGCAAAGGTAACCCCATATCCTTTAAAGTCAGAAGACCTTCTCAAGAACAGTTAATTGCTGCGAAAAAATGCTTATACGCTGCAAGAAGGTCTCTACAGACCATCCAAAAGCAGCTGATCAAGTCTATTATACATTGTAGAGACATTAGGTTATTTCGACACAGGAGATGAAAAATGAGCAATGCCTTTGTTGCGATTCGAAACACAGCCTCTTGAATACATGATGAGCGTGCTGACCACTACACTATGAAGGCATGCTAAGGCAGAGGGAGAAATACCTTATATACTTCCCCCTTTAACGGGCAACTAGGGATTAGAGGACCCAATTGCCAAATCCTGATGGTGGAGAATCATCATCCACCCCATTTTTAGTTCGGGTGCCACTGTAGAGACATTAAGTTTATTTAAAGTAGGAATCGTGAAAAATGAGCAATGCCTTCACTGGGACACGAACCACAGGCCTCTCGAATATGAGCCAAGAGTGCTGACCACTACACTACGAAGGCATGCTAAGAAAGCAGGAGAAATACATTATAAAGTCACTTTAAAAAAAAATCTGCGATTGGAGACCATGACTTAAAATGCAGTTTATTGAGATTATAATATTTTTTGTTTGGCTCTAGTGTAAAATAAGGTGCTTCTTCGATTTTTAAATGAAAATAAATTGATGTGTACATGGACAAAGTCAAGGGTGTGCACAATGTCGAGTTCGAGCAATTCTTTGATGTTTTTTAAGTGAAACTAGATCGATGTGTACATAAACACTAAGTTTGTGTAATTCTTCGACTTGTTATTTTGGTTTTGTGTAGCGGCCATCTTGAAATTGTGCCTTGCTGGACAATTGCCAAGAGCCCTAAAATATATTTTTACCTTTACCCCCTTTTCAATACAGTTGAACAGCAGTGGTATTTCCTGAGTAAATTCAGTTTTGTTAAGGAATATTCTTTGATATCGCCAAGAGATGGCGTTAGGAGTCCATCTATTGGCTTACTTAACCCGTGTCACGTGTTCAGAAGGGGAACCTTCTGAACACGTGACTTGGAAAAATATTCTTCTTGTTGAAGGTAGAAATTCGATGCACTACGCAATAGAATTCGATTTAGATTCTTAGAGAGCTATTCAGTTCTTGCTTTTTGAGCCTTAAATATTCGATTCAGGCATTTTAGCCTACATTATATATATTAAGTTTAATTAAAAGTTATGTAAAACCCTCCAGGCCATGTATCTCATTTTGGATTATGAGTGATTCAACATTTGATCTAGAACCTTTCGTTTCAAATGGTGCATCCGCTACGGAAAAGAATCTGATTAATTTGAAATTTTGTGTTTTTCGCCTCTTGGATTGGCTTTGTAAGCAAAGACTGCTCACGGTAAGTTTCCTTTGATAATTTATTAAAATGGAACAGAAGACACTAAATAAGAATCGAGCCCATATACGTGCTTCTGTAACTCAAATTACTTAATATGTAGATGAGTATTTAAAAGAAGAAAAACAAGAAGAGTTAGAAAATTGTTTGGAATTGTTAAATAGTAAAGAAACGGAACTACACGATTTAAATGAAAAAATACAAAATTTGATTGAATAGATGAATCAAAACTTAGGAGTTCAGATATTAACACTTCTATGGAATATAACGATTAAAATAATAATATTGAAGTCTAAAATCAACCGTTACTTTAAGGAAATACAATATTCAAAATGTTCAATGCGAATTTAAATAATTCATCTACAGAAGTTGAAACCGAAAAACAGATTGAAAGTAACGTGAAATTACCCAAACTGTTAATTCACAAATTTTCCGGAGACTGTAACGATTGGATGAATTTTTGGAATTCATTCAAGGTCACTATTCATGACAATGTTACACTTTCAAAGATCAAAAAATTTAATTATTTGAGGACTTATTTATTAGTAAAATTAATTTGAAGTTTCTGTACGATTTGGAGCGAAAGGAGAAAAGAGCTTTAATTGACTGGTGTATAAATAAAGGTTTACTTAGTAGCCATTATAAGTGTCCTGTATGTAGGAAGGATATGCATCTAGTCGAACGTAAAAACCATTTAGATGGATTTCAATGGGTTTGTAGGAAGAAAGGTTCAGATGGTCACTATGTGAAGCGTTCGATCAGAAAGAGTACCTGGTTTGAAAAAAGTCATTTGAGTATGATTGATATTTTGATTTTTACGTGGCTCTGGGTGTATGAAGCGAACTCGAAAATCATGGTGGTGAATACAGTCAAAAGTCGTTAATTCGGACTCGTAGGGACTTCGGCGATTCCAGATTATCGATTTTTCCGGATTATAGATCATCAGTTTAAATCTGGTAAGATGGCATGCAGAAATTATAAAATTAAAAATATGAAACCGTAATTTATGAAATAAAGAGCAATTATGAAAACTTCACTTAAGTTAATTTTAAGTGAAGGGTATAAAAATTTACAAAAAGAAAAAGCTTAATATTTATTTGTTTACTTTATTAAACATTTCTTTTAATGTCAGTTGTTTAAGTTGCTTCGTTTCATGTGATAATACTTTCTCTTTAATTCTATTAAACAGACATAATTCCTTGTTTAGTTACAAAGTTCCGCTGTTCAAGTCCTATAATTGCTGTGTCGAGAATACCGACTAATTTGTCAATCGAAATGTTTCCGTTTTCAATAACCTCTGTGTCACTTTCTTCACTATCGGAAGCGAATTATAATGACGAGGAACTTGATTTAAATCATATCAAAGACTGAGTACATCAAGATGAAATACTACATTTAGTAAAAAATTATAAGCCAAATAAAATAAAAACATCTGCCCTGAAGATAAGGATAGTGCTGACAGATCAACTTCCAATTCATTGCACACGTCGTCGTTCCCCCCCCCCCCGCAGAGGAGCGTGAAATTGATAAACATATTTTGGAATGATTAGATAATCAAAGGATATGCCTTTATCCATGTTTTGCAGCAATTCCACTTTCTTTAATGAACTTCGAAACATACTTTCGCTTTGTAGATCCTTTACATATTAGTAAATATATATCGGAAATTCTATTTGACATAATCAAAAGTTCAAGCTTACTTTTATAAAATTGCTAACAGTCTGCAAAAAATAATAAGCCGGATCCAATTTGAAGATTAAGGAACAACGCAATCTGCAACATTAACTGAATTAGATAATTTTAGCTTAGCTTATACCGTCCGTTATACATAAAACGCGCATGCTCACACGCATATTCGCAGCCATAAAGGTCTTACGCGCATGCGTAAATGCCTATGCGCAGAAAGTTTGTAGCTTTGAGGTCCGGATTATGGGTGTCCGAATTAACGACGTTTGACTGTATTTGCTTTTGATAGTGCTTAAATGTATAACATGTTTTTCCTATTTTATGTCATTTTATTGTTTGGTTTAAAATGTATTTTATTGATATTATGTATTTTTTGTTTGCCTATATTGTAGAATTTGGTGCTCCTT